TCTTTCAATTTTCTAAAGTTCTCAATTGTTCCAGCCCAGGGTCTATACCAAAAACATCAATCAATCCCACAGTCAGTCTTTCCTTGCTTTTTTCTTTATTCTAGTTCTGCTTTCACTTTCTAAGATTCTTACTTTGTTTCAATATTTATTTAATATTATATCCACACAAGTTCATTCAGAAACAGGATGTTTTCCTTTTTGTTTGAGCTCAAGTTTTTGTCAAAAAGTGGCACTCTCCATTATACAAAGTCTTCACCTTTTTCCCCTATTTTTTTATTTAGGGTTTTTCAAACCTCGATATTCCAGCACAGTCTAGTCTCCAATTTGTAAACTTTATTATTATTATTTTTTGACAATCTTAAGTCCAGCTTTATTTTATGCCTATTTATTGCCAAAATATTTTAGTCCAATTTAGTTAAATCTTTAGTTCCGGCTTCTTCCTTTCCCGGTTCAAAGCCCCACTTAGCTGTCAAAAATGTTTTTCTTTTTTTTTTTTTCTGTCCCTTTGTAATTTCGCCGCTCACTTTTCTTTTCTTAAAAATTCTATGTTACCTTAAGCCCGGGGTACTTTTGTTTAGTTGTATTGCCCAGTTGTCCCTGTTCAGATGTTATCCACCTCTTTCTTCCCTCCTACACAAATATTAATCCAGCTGAGTCCTCCTCTTCGGGGTGGCCATTTTAAACCACTGCTGCAGTTGTCTTCGGAGGGAAAAAGACCAAGACCGGGGGGGAGATGCGGCTCCCCTCAACCTGGCTTGTGGCTTCCCCTTACTCCGCCGCCCCTCCAAGGCAGCTTCAGCCCCTAATCGTAATGAACGGGGCTCTCCAACGAAAGAGCATGGACCATAGCCGCAGAGAGATGAGATCTACGGTCTGTCAGAGAGGAGGCTCCACCTTCCCCCGATTGATCATTCTTTATTTGGGATCACAGGATACCACCTCCAGCTCCGTTCTCAGGGGGAGAGAGAGAGAGAGAGACTTTTGGCTTCATGCAAGGAAAGCAGAAGCAGCAGAAGTCTTTCTTTCCCCCAAACTCCGCCAGAAATTAGTCTTTGTGAGACTTGTCACACCGGCACCTCTTGGAGCAGGATGCCTTGCAGGGTCCCAAAGACTCATTTCTGGTGGTGTTTGGGGGAGAGAAAGAAAGACTTTTGCTGCTTTCCTTGTGTGCAGCCAAAAGCATCAAAAGAAAGAACTGGAAAGAAGCAGCCCAATGGCCAAGTGAGTTGAGTGGGGCAAGTCTCCCCACTCCACCCTTTCCCCCCTCCCCTCACTACCTCATGTTGTTCGCAATGCAAGTGACACAAGCCTTGTGTTCCCGCAGGCCATGTGAGCAGAGCAGCCTTGTGTTCCTACGCAGCCTGGATTGCTTTGGGGGGTGACATTTCTCTGTGGACCACCAACATTTTCTCGTGGACCACCAGTAGCCCCAGGTCCACTGATTGGCAACCACTGATCTATACCTGTGCATTTTTTTTTCTTGCCCAAGTTTAAAATCTTATTTTACTTGCCAAATTCAATTTTGTTGGACTGGCCCAGTGTTCTAGTCTGTCATGATCTTTCTGGATCTTGAGCTTATCTTCTTGTTTATCCCTTCAGTTTGATGTCATTTGCAAATCTGATGAGTTCCCCTTCTATCCCCTTATTTAAATCATTTATGAAGATATTGGGGCCCTTGGGGTACCCCACTGCACACTTCCCTCTCTGTAGTTGTAGTTCCATTCAGGATTACACATTGATTGAAATTCTGCCTTTTTAAAACAGACACATATAAAAAATGTCAGAACTTTACTCCCAAAGTTGGACTGTCGTCCCAAAGTTGTTTTTTTTAACACAACTCAGACAAATGCTCTTCCTCCTAATCAGGATTTATGGAGAGAATACCCTTGACAATTTTTTCTTACTGATTGATCTGGCATAACATTACTGAATAAATAAAAGAAAAGAAAAAGAAAAAAAGAGAAAATAAAAATTTGAAGAAAGCAGATTGCTGTGTTAAGAATTAGTAGAATCTTTTACAGAATTGTGTTGGTGACGGATTCTGTATGCAACTTTCCTCCAGGAACACTAGGCCTGCCTGGAGGTAGATTAGATTCAAAGACCTGGAAAATCTAGCCCGTGGTCATCCTGTTGATCCTATGTAGTAGAAGATACATTAGAAATTATTTCAGATCAGTTCTAATCCAACACTTCAACTACACATTATGCTTTCCATTATCTGTATTCATGAAAACGTGTGTCAATGTAATCTATAAAATCTGCAGATAGGTTATATCTATAGGATATACTACCGGTAATCTATTTTAGATACATTTCTATTTTATTTCCACTTTTGTAACTTGCCTCATACTCTGGATGTGTCCAACAAATCACACAGACAAAAAAAATGTAATGAAACTCAAAGATTCTTAAACTTGGGAAACACTACCCATTCTCCATGTACTTCTTGCACATAGAACTTAGAAGGGGGTCTGGAGGCTAAAATAGGGGACTGAAGGCTAAAACATATAAAGAACAGTTGCTAGAACTGGGTATATCTAGTTTGGTGAAAAGAAGGACTAGGGGAGACATGATAGCAGTGTTCCACTATCTCAGGGGATGCCACAAAGAAGAGGGAGTCAAGCTATTCTCCAAAACACCTGAGGGAAGGACAAGAAGCAGTGGGTGGAAACTAATCAAGGAGAGAAGCAACCTAGAAATAAGGAGGAATTTCCTGACAGTTAGAACAATGAATAAGTGGAACAAATTGTTTTCAGAAGTTGTAAATGCTCCAACACTGGAAGTTTTTAAGAAGAGATTGGGTAACCATTTATCTAGAATAGTATAGGGTTTCCTGCCTAAGCAGAGAGTTGGACTAGAAGATTTTCTAGGTCTTCCAACTCTATTATTCTATTCTAAGTCCTCTCAAGATGTTTATATTAGATGGCTAAATTCAAGTGGTGCCTGGTATAGCACTTTCTAATTGACTGGAATTGATCTTTTAAGGTTTATGAAAAGTGTATTTCTCCTAGATCTAGATGCCAAGCTTTTGCATGCAAAACATGCTTAATACTGTGATAGAATTTCTTATTTCCATTCCAAAAACTTGGGGCAATAATTAAGTTGCTCCTACATGTTAAAACATAAAGTGTACATAACCCCAATCTATACCTTATTCTTACCTTCTTCTTCTTTGAAGATATAAATACACCAGCCATTGGGTAACAAAGGGCCATAAAATAGCAAAGGCTAAAGTACCAGGAGAAATCTCAAAGGGCCACCATGATGGTTTCTAAATGGCATATAAAATTAATGTTCATCAATAAATATTAAATCAGCATCTGCTATAAAAATTCCAACAATAAATATTAAAATGTCCCTAATAAAATCACCTATATAACTCAAAAATCATAAATAAGATGCCTATCAACTATTTAAAAACACTTCCACCAAAATGACCATCACCTCCCAAGACTCTGGAATAATTGTTTTGCAGACAAAAACTTTTAAGATTGCTATATAATTTTGTAACCAAACTTGGTTCACATCGCAAGCTAAGCAAACACTGCTTTCCTGCACTTCATTCTTATTTTTGAAGATTTTTTTTAAGTTTTACATGTACACAGTAAAATTACACTTAATATAAGACTACTGAAATTGTCCTGCAATTTTCTCTGTAAGTTCATAAACATTCATAAACATTGAAAGATTTAAATTACTTCCGAGCAGCTGCCAATGTAGCAACACAAATTTGTTTCTTAGCATATATTAAAAAGTTAAATATGGTTTTCTTGTTCCATTTATTTTTGTTGGCCATTTTGATGCGAACGTTGCCATGCAATCTTTGTATATACAGCTCTTGACTTCCAGCTATTTATTTACTGATGGTCCGAAGTTATGAAAGCCTCAGAAAAAGTAACTTACGATCCATCCCTCAAATGTTTTGAGTTTCCTACCAATCCTTGTTGGAAAGTGATCAGAGTTTGGTTGCTTGGAAACCAGCTTGCATTTACAACAGTACCTTGTTGGTAAATATAAATTCAACACAAATATAGTTTGCTGCAAAAGCGACTACCTATGAAGGCTCCCGGATGGGGTTGAAAGGCGAAAGCAAAAGCGGTATGCTCCATCCCATATTTGGGTAGACCAGGTGGCCCTAATAAAAGACACTTAATCTATTCCCTGGTATAGCTGACAAAGTGAGGAAAGCCTGTGGCTTAGAGGTTAATACATCTACCTAATATGCAAGTAGCCCAGGTTTGAATCCCAGAAGGGTATGGCTAGCTGACGAGAGCTTGAAATAGATCTGTACTTAGTCTCCCTTTATTTCTTTGTCAGTAAGTATAAATTCAACACATTTACAACAGTTGCACATGACTGCAATTTGTATTCTTCCCAGCTGCTTTCTGATAAGCAAAGTCAATTGAGGAAGCCAGATTCCTCAATGACTATGATAAAAATGTCCCCCAAATCATGTCCAGGCACTTGATGACATCATTGGTTAGGGTCCAAAATTCGAGTCCCAGTTATGGCCATAAGCTGTGAACTACCTCTAATTAGGTGAAACAATAAACACATTCATTTTTCAATATAGTTAAAATAACATTTAAAATGTTTTCTGGAATAGTTTCTTAGATACTGGGGTGCAAAAAAAAACCTCATCTAACCTGTACATTTAAGAAAAATCACAACATTAAAATTAAATGATTTATTAAGAAGTAAATAAAAATCTACCTTAACAGGTGCCTCAGGCTGATTATTTGAATGTAGTGTTGCCTACAAAAACAAACTAAATTAAACAAACTATTGAAAAAACATGTTTCAAATTAAAACTTTATATTACGGCATATCTTTGGGGATCTGTCCAGGTATAGTTTCTGTTTACGTTTATTAAAAAATATACATGTAAGAATTTAGCTCAAGCAATAGATTGTTTGCCTCTTTATGTAAACTTCATTGTTCTCTCTTTCTCCCTATTCCATCTCAGAAATGTTCTTCCAACTTTCCATTTCTGGTCTGGACCTTTCAGATAGTTCTGTAACAAAACAAACTCTAAGAAAATCATTATTTTTTCACTTTGATTAAATAGTTTAGATACTGTTCATAGAAAAATTAGTATAATAAAGGTCACCCTGTTTTTCAAAATTGTCTTCCATCTCTATTTTCCTTTTGCTGGAGTATGTGGCTATGGGTGGGAAGTGGATTTCCTCAAAGGCAAAAAATTTCTCCTCTAAATAGTTTAGCTAATAAGCTTCCAAGAGTTTAAGAAAGACTAGACAACCCATGTCATGTTGGGTCATAGTTTTAGAAGTATTTCCTTTCCTAAACAGAAACAATGGGTCAAGGGCCAAAATGTAATGGTAATGGAAGCAACTTTCCACCTGCTTGTCTGTTCTTTGGCAGCTGATGATAGGACCTATCTACCCAACCTCCAGAGGGCTAGTGTGGGGCCAGTATAGTAAACCTGCAGGAAGTGGTGCATCAGCATGGCAGCACTGAAGCAGCTACAGGTTTGCTAAATTTCAGAATTTCTGTTCTTTGGCAGCTGATGATAGGACCTATCTACCCAACCTCCAGAGGGCTAGTGTGGGGCCAGTATAGTAAACCTGCAGGAAGTGGTGCATTAGCATGGCAGCACTGAAGCAGCTACAGGTTTGCTAAATTTCAATCTCACATGAATCATTTTCCTGGATCTTGAATGCATTCAGTAAGCCCATTTGAGGTATCTTGATTCAAAAATTATTGTCTTATGAGGCACCATTTTGCCCAATTGGCGGTTATAGTCAAAGACACATGAAAGTTTTAGTAATCTTGTAGACAATCCATGACCCATGGTTTCAGAGACATTTCTTCACCAGATTCAATAATGGCAGAACTTCTAATGTATTACTTTCATTGGAAAACTTCTTAAAAGTTCACGGGCATATTCAGATATATACTTGCCTTGAAAATACCCCACATTGAACCGTGGCACTGTAGAGATAGGTAGACTTTCTTGGATACTAATCCACATATGTTTACCTGTGAGATTGTGAGTGCCTCAAGGGCATGTAATCTCTGAAGAACATTTTGCATATCTTCTTGCAATCGTATGAGTGCAATTGCAATCTGTTCATTGAGGGTGCTCCGTGGTCCTCTGTCCGAACCCCATCGTTCTCCGTCTCCTCCACTGCCCACCTGTCCACCTTGGCCACCATCTCCTACAGGGTACATTCTATGTCCTAAATTAAGGGGAAAATACTTTTAGAAGCAATGTAAACAAATCAGAGCTATGTATATTTTCAAAAAGATTTCATGATGCTTGTACATTGTGCAAAGGCACAATGCTTTTTATAAAGTATTTTTCCCCCCCAATCTTACAGGAAAATGTGAAAGAAGATGCCACTGCTTTAAAAGGATTCTTAAAGCAGTGCCTTTTTCAGGCTTGTACAGAAGTCTAATAAAGATGTGGCTGCTTTAATAGAGTTTCAAAGTTCTATTGTGAATCATTTTCAAAGTGCATAGCCCTAATATGTATTATATATAAATATAGTTTATGTATCAACCACACACAAAACCATTATTATAAGAAATGTTAAGAATGATTTTAAACATGCCTCATTTATGCAAGAGTTTCAACAAAATACGTCTCCCAATAATACCTCTTCCCCTTCGAACTCCATAGAGGTCAACCTTTTCACTATTTGTCTTCTCTTTTTGAGGGCCTCTATCATTTGCTTTGCCATCTTCACCGCCACGCTTGACTTCGCCTTTTCCTTCCGGTGCACCTTCCTTTATACTTTCTGCTTTGTGATTTGCAAGTTCAAGAAAACTGGAAGTTTCTAACAGATTATTATGATCTACTTCTGAGAAAGTTAATGGATGTCTGGAAATTTCCTTGACTGATGAGCTGATTTCCAGGATCTATAAGTTAACAAGACAAAAGGCACTATTTATTTATCAAACTTATATAGCTTCCCATCTTACCCAAGGAATCTCTGGTGCATAACAAACAGGTAAAATCATATGTAAAAACCACAGATTTAAAGTCACATTAGCAATAAGTATTATAAAAACAGATACAAATCCTAGCTGAAAAGGGAATAAAAATAAGCAGCTCAGCAATGGAGCCATCTAAGCATGTCATTGGTTCTTTGGGAGCCCTGGGCCTAATAACATAAACGGATTTTGAGAGCCTTATGGAATATCAAAAGCAATGGAGCTAATCTAATTTTTGAGAGAAGAATTCCATGAAGCAGGTATCACGGCAGAAAAAAATATGCAGTCATGTGATCAAAATTCAGGCACTTGGCAATCTGCATGTATTTACAATGGTTGCAGCAATCCTGTGGTCATGTGATTGCCATTTGCAACCTTCCCAGTTGGCTTCCAACCAGCAACATCTATTGGGAAAGTTGGATTCACTTAATAACTATTTATTTAACAACTTCAGTGATTTGCTGAACAATTATAGCAAAAAATGTCATGGAATTGTGTGTGACTCATTTAGCAACTGCTTTGCTTAGCAACAGAAAAGCAATTGCGGTCGTAAATCAAGGACTAACTGTATCTCTTCCATTATAAGATGACATTAATTACTAGCCTCCCCCTTACTCTTTGCTTTTAATTAAATGCAAGTTAAATGCAAAGAGGCATAGATACAAACTATTACTTTTTTAACATTAAGTTAAAATTAAATTAGCTAACATTAAGTTTTCAGAAAGATGCAGGCTCTTAGGAAAGATTTATCATTGTTTATTAGAAATTAGAACTGATTCTGAGTAAATTCTTCGGCCAGGTAAGCAATATAAGATGGTTACTGTTTACAGCCTCAAAACCATTTTGTGTATTTGGTAGAATGATTATCATGTACATATTTTTTATATTACAACATAACAGACTGCAAATTTACCTCTTCTTGTCCAAACTGCTCCATTGAATCACAGTATATTTCACTATCTGAATCACTTGTCAAGAGTTGAATTCCAGACACTTCAATGGTATCTTCATTTTGACCTATATGGATACATGAGCAAATACTTATGAACAATGGATATTTAATACTTAAATATTAAAATATCTAATCAAACACCAGTATTGAGAATTACATTTTTAACCTAGCAATTTGTAAAAATTTAATGGTTTGCGAACGAGCAGCTAAAATGAATCTTTTCTGCAATGATAGTTCACAATAAAATAATGCTGTTAATATTTTATATCTGTGTGTGTGTGTCTGTGTAGTAAATTAATTTAATCCCAATTAACTTGGAGAAAATAAATATGCACATAGGTATATTTTAAAAATCACAGTTTTAATGCAATATCAAAGATAGAAAAGTTAATGTCTCAAAGATTTTTCACTCTCTGCATGAGGGGAAAATAAATTACAAATTTTTAATATACAATTCTTAATTATGTTGGCCCTATCTTTTTCTTTGTACATACAAGACTTGCATATATTTACATTTCTGTATTTTCTAAGTGGATAAATAGCAGTGATATGCTCACTCTTAGCTAACCCGGCCAATCTGGTCTGGGTGTGTAACCATGATCAGATTGGTTAATACATGGATGGGAGTATGCTAGATTGAGAAATAAAATGACATTTTGGAAAAGACTTTATTCCAAAGCAAAAAAAATCTGGGTTAAGCCCATGTAATCACAAAGAGCCATTTTCCATTTGAAAGCATCTTTACCTTCATTTGAGCTGATTCATAGTTTACATATATACACTTGTCATGATTTAGATTCATTTTAGAATATATATCTACACACAGTATACAATGTTCTATATGTAGACATCAGCCTACTGTTATTCCTTCTTTTTCTCCCAGGTGTTGACACCAGGGCTGGGATTCAACTGGTGTTACTACAGGTTCGGTGATTACGTTTTGCTGCATGCACATGTAATGCATCTAAAGCTGTGTCACCCAGACAGCTGATAAGCACTGCGCGCAGATGTGCAGCATTTTAAAAGCCACTTTTTCCCTACTTTTTCAACCTCAGCTGAGGTTGAAAAAGCAGTAGATAAAGGTCAGGTAACAGCCCGGGTGGGCCAAACAGAACCAGTTCTGGGTCTGTTGCTCTTCAGAGCTACTGGTTCTACAGAGCCGGGCAGAACCGGTAGCATCCCACCCCTGGTTGACACTGTTGAAGAGGCAAAATATTAAGGAGCACCGTATAACACAGGTGTCAAACTCAATCGTGTCATGTGACATATCATGACGTATTTGCATTATTTTTTGCCTTTGTGGAGCCAGGGTAGGTGTGGCCTGCATGTGACGCATACAGCCCATGGGCCATCAGTTTGACATGCCTGGTATGTAACATCTATAAGTATTTTTTCAGAAAAAGTATTCATCAGCTTAAACAAAAAGCTGACTGTCTTTTGGATGCTAAGATTTAAGGGAGCTCCATTACTTGCTCCATTATTTAAGCAGACAGAAGAGTAAGTAGGAAATATTAATCTTCCCACTCCAGCAGGAAAACAAATGATCAGAAAGTAGGACTATTTGATTGCAGCCAAAGGAAATAGGTGTTCATGGTACCATGGCAGACTATGTGAAAGGCTATTTAAATTAATTCTTCATTTAAACTGGGCACCAACCCACTGTTTGCTCTCCTACATGCATCAATGCTAGAAAAGAAACCAAGTAATACCAACAGGAAAAGTTTTCTGAAAAATTATCCACACTGGCAAACATTAATCAACCAATGGAACTACTTGCCTTCAGAAGTTGTGGGAGGTTTCAAGAAGAGACTGGACTGCCACCTGTCAGAAATGGTGTAGTGTCTCCTGCTTGGGTGGGGGCTTCAACTTGATGACCTAGAAGGTCCCTTGCAACTCAACTCAACTGTTCTATTCTATTCTGTTCTGTTCATTTCTGTTCTGTTTTCTGTTCTGTTTTCTGTTCTGTTTTCTGTTCTATTCTATTCTATTCATGTGGATTTGGATAATAAAAGCATCTGAAGATGGTACCTTGATGAGTAGAATCCCAGTTAGGGATGACTGGTAACTCAAGGCACTTTTCACTTGTCTTTATTTCATCATCCACATTGATGCCATTCAATTTAGATTTGGTCTGTATGCCATTGTTCACATCAACGTTGGAAACAGCATTACAACTTCCATTAATAACCACGCCATTTAAATCCTTATCAGGGGATGAATCTTGTTTCACATCTTCTTCTGAAAATCCTATGTAAATAAATTTGCAAACAACGTCATTATCACGTACGGTACTCTATTTTTACAAATACAGATAGTCCTTGGCTTATGACCACAATTGAGCCCAAACTTTCTGTTGCTAACAAGATAGTTAGGTGAATTTTGCCCCATTTTATGACTTTTCATACCATAGCTGCTAAGTGAATTAATGAAGTTGTTTAGCAAGTAACATGCTAAGTGAGTCAGGATTCCCCATTGACTTTGCTGATCAAAAGGTCACAAAAGATGATCACATGACCCAGGAACAATGCAACAGTCATGAGTCAGTTGCCCAAGTGTCTGAATTTTGATTATGTGACCATGGGGATGCTGCAGTGGCCGTAAGTGTGAAAAACGTTCATGTTAATTTTTCTCAGTGGCATTGTATTTTCAAATGGTCACTAAACAAATCAAAGACTACCTGTACCTTTTTATTTGTTGAACAATACATACAATATTTATGAACTAAATATTTCGCAGATTAATCTAAATAGTCATTTGTAATCAAAGTGCTTAAAATAGTTTGTTCTTTTTTAAAAATCCATCAAACTGCTATTTATATTACATCTAACAATATATGTGCCACCGATTTTTCCAAGATGGTCAAGACAACAGGCATAGCAGCTTCTCTCATTTCTCCCACAACAACTTTAAATGTTGGGTCAAGAGTGTATGAGAACCACCCAAATTAGCTCTGAACTTCCATGGCTGACCCATGGATCTGATTTCTCCCAGTAATTTGCTGTCTATACATTTTCATTTTGTACATTGTAAATTGGAATATTAATTGCCATTAGAAAAAAAGTGGGAACAGTGTACACATTTACAGTATCTGGGAGTAGAATCTTTGTAACTGAGTGCAACTGAATTCCAAGAATCCAACTACCCAAGTACAGCATTATAGGATTTACTTACAAGCATTAAAAGATTTCTCAATTGGCATGGCATAGAATCAGCTTACCTGAAGAACCATTGTGTCCCAATTACTTCAACCTGTTCCACCCAGTTAGGCAGGGAGGAGGGAATGATACAAGACTCCTTTGGTTAAAGAATTTTGGCTGGCAGGATCTAGGAAGAGAGTTGCTCTACTCTATGGAAAACCTTGCATTCAGAGGGGACAACGGTCCCCACTTTTATGGCGTTTTGGAACAGTGTGAAGACTTGGCTCTTCTAACCGGCACGAGGATTGAAGAGTAGCACTAGTTGGATTGAAAGTGCTCCCTCCACCTTTTAACTATCTCTAATTTCATTTTTAGTTGTGTTATGGATGGTGTTTTTGTATGGTTTTATGATTTTTATCTGGAAACCATCCAGAGTCACTTAGACCATGGGTTCCCATCTCCCGGTCCATGGACTGGCACCGCTCTGAAGCATGCCAGAAACCGAACCATGCAAACAAGCAAAGCCCCATCCATGGGATGCAAGCAGCACATAAAACCACACACCCTCTGGTCTATGGAAAAACCTCTCTTCACAGAACCAGTCTCTTATGCCCCAAAGGTTGGGAGCTGCTGACTTAGACCAAGGGTCTTCAAACTTGGCAAGTTTAAGACTTGTAGACTTCAACTCCCAGAATTCCTGAACTAACATGACTGGAGGAGGAATTCTGGGAATTGAAGTCCACAAGCCTTAAAGCTGTCAGGTTTTAAGACTCCTGACTTAGACAGTGAGAGGGGCAATGTCTAAATTTGATGTAAATAGTTTCTTTCATTTTAAAAAGAAGTCTGAATCTAATGTATTGATATTCAATCTGTATAGCCCAACTCTGTAATTGCTTATTTGAAAAAGAATGCTTTTTTGTGTGCAGTGAAATTAACTCATAAATAAGTGACAAAGAATAACATTATGAATTATTTATTCAATTCATCACTGTCCCTGAAGTTTTATTAAAAAGTTTTCAAAAGCAGTTTGCCATTGTCTCCTTCCTAGGGCTCACAGAAGGAATCTGGCTCCATGTCTAAAGCAGAATTAAAACTGACAATCTTCTGGTTTTAGGCTTATAACCTTTAACAAATTGGCTCTCTTTCAAAAGTTAAGGGCTGAGAATTATCAAACAGATTTGCGTGGCTCTTTTTCACTGGATAATAGACCCAAACTGGTTCTTTTTAATACTGAACTTAAGGGACCCAGAGAACACCAACTCAGCCACTTTGGATCAGTTGAGCAGATACTATGGAAGACAGGTGGTCCCTCAAATAACTAGAACCTACAATTTAGAATACTGAAAATCTAATATAAATGAGAATCATGCTTTCTCATTACTGTTAGGATACCATAACTGTTTCCCAACAAAGCTTGCCATTTTATTTTATTTTATTTTTTGCCATCCCAAGAAGCGGCTTTATCAAAAACCTGTGAAAAGGTGTAGATGCTATTCAGAAATAAATGTGTACCTTTATCAATCTGTTGGACATCTTTCAATTCTTCCTGTTGTGGTTCTTCCTCCGATTCTGCTCCACTGTCATTGCTTTCTGATTTTCCATTCACAGCTGGCACAGCTTTGTGAGGATCTATTAAGATAAAAAAATTTTTACCTAAAAACCGTGTTTGTAAAATAATTGTTTAGGTACCTAATTTTCATGGGGCATGATGCCTCAGTGGTTAAAGACGCTGAGCTTGTCAACTAGAAAGCTGACGACCTGTGTTCAATACTTGTGCACTGCGCAACAGAGTGACTACTTGTTGCTTCCCCCAGCTCTTGCCTATTTACAAAGTACACAAATGCAAGTAGATAAATAGGAACCACTTCAGTGGGAAGCTAACAATGTTCTATGCACTTTGATGTACAGCCGTGCTGGCTACATGATCATGGAAGCATCTTTGGACAACGGTGGCTCCCTCAGCTAAGAAATGGAGATGAACACCACCCCCAAATCCAGAGTCAGATTTGATTGGATGGGAAACCTTTACCTTTATCTAATTTTCATTTGGAATAACAATGCAAGTCACTTTTCCTTCCTCTTCAAGTCCACATAGTAAAACTCCAAGAGTGGAATACTATATTAACAGTGGCTATAGCAAAAATCTTATTAGTATTATTCTAACTTGTACATAGGACATGACAAGCTGATTATTTAAAAACACAAAATTTACTAAAGTCTACGGAGAGTCAAAGATAGATTATGAACGGATTCAGGGTGGGATTCAAATTTTTTTACTACGAGTTCTGTGGGCATGGCTTGGTGGGTGTGGCAAGAAAAGGATACTATAAAATTTCCAGTCAGAAGTGGTATTTACCGGTTCTCCGAACCACTCAAAATTTCCTCTACCAGTTCTCCAGAACTGGTCAGAACCTGTTGAATATCACCTCTGAATGGATTATGCCCTTAAGTGAATCCAGAATATCCAATGGATGTTTTTTAACATTTTCATCACAAATTGTGGTCACGTGATTGCAAGATGCTGCAATCAGTCATAAATTCAAACCAGTTGTCAAATGCTCAAAATGCTATCTCATGACTGGTGGTTTGTATATGGCAATTGTAACTTTGAGGACTGGCCGTAAATAGTTTTTGTTGATGTCCATCACAATTTTGAAAATAATTAAGTCATTAAGTGAAGATTACCTGCATATAGTTTTCTATCGCTTTCATTCATTACTACATAATATAGTGGGATTTATTTCTACTACTGATTTTAGTACAATTTCTGCAGGGCTGTTATACAAACCACAGTCTCTGTTCACAGATTGACCGATTTTCTATAGCATAACTTGATCACCTACAATGCATGTGTAAGTTACATTTCGGATTTTGTGCATCATCCTTTGCTATCCATTTTTATTCAGAACCCAAAAGAAGTTCAGGATAATTAAATCCTGGTAAAGACTCCAGCCAACTGATCAGCATGGTCTTTAAGCACTCGGCCAGAGATACCGTCAGGACCGGCAGCTTTTCTAGGATCCACAGCCCTCAGAATGCTCCTCACCTCCTGTTCCTCCACAATGAGGTGGGGGCTACAATTGGCTGGTAGTTGTATTTTAATCTGTCTCTAATGTCTCCACTTCAAAGCGAGTAAAGAAATGATTCAGTTCCTCTACCAATGAAGCATCCCCCTAAGCAGGGATGACATTGGTCAGTTGATGGTTTGTAATTTGTTGAATCCCTTGCCATACCTGCCTCATGTTATTGCTATAAAAAATATCCTCAATTTTCCTCTTATAATCAGTCTTGGCCTTCTGAATACCTTTCTTCAGATTAGCTCTGGCAACACTGTATCTTGCCACATCACCGGACCTAAAGTTCTGTCACGCAAGAGGCGCTGGACTTCCTTGGTCATCCAGGGTTTCTGATTGGGATAGATCCTAATATGTTTATCCACAGTGATAGTATCTGTGCAGTGTTTGATATAGCACAGAACACTTGCAGTGTGCTCTTCTAGGTCAGGGTGGTAAAGGTTGTCCCAATTTGTGTTCTCAAAACAATCCTGAAGTTGTTGGGAAGCATCTTCTAGCCAAGATTTCACTGTCTTTATTATAGGCAGAGCCCGTCTCCTAAGAGGGATGTACGCTGGTGCTAAAAGCAGTGACATGGTCTGATTGTCCCAAATGTGGTAACTGTATAATCTTATCGCCATGTTTGATGTTGGTATATACTTTGTCCAATATGTTTGTTCCTCTAGTAGCACACTTAACATGCTGATAGAATTTAGGGACCACTGCTTTTAAATCAGCTTGATTAAAGCCCCCCACTATGATATGCACAGCATCAGGATACTTATTCTGCTGATTACTAACAATGTTATACAAGAATTCCAAAGCTATGGTAGTATTGACATCACGTGGGATATAGACTGCAGTAATCAAAAACACTGATTTCCCGTGGAAGATATATGGGTCTACATTTAAGAGTCATATACTCCAGATCCATGGAGCAGTGGCTGTCTATAGTCTTTGTATTGATAGACCAGCTTTTGTTCACATAAAGGCTTAAACCTCCCCCTTTGATCTTGCCAAAATCTCTACTCCTGTCCTGCCGGTGAGCTATGTAGCCTTCCAGCTCAACAGCTGCATCTGGAATGAGTAAATAAAGCCAAGTTTCTGTGATTAGCAAAACACAGCAGTTCTCGATGAATTTAGGCTTTGTAATCTGTAGCCTTAATTCGTCCATTTTGTTAGTCAGAGATCTTGCATTGGTAAGAAATATACTTGGAATTGAAGGCTTGCATGGAAACTTACTCAGTCTAAAGAAAACCCAGCACGGCATCCTTTTTTCCTCTTCCTGTTCTTCTTTCTCCGCCTCTTCCTCCTTCCTACAGGGACAGTGATCCATGGGTCCCAAAGGGCCTACCTGCCTCCTTCGGTATGTTATGAGAATGTATAAAATTGTCCGTAATAGCCTTTTCACATTTCAGTCCAATTTGTATCCAGGTTTGCCGACTATAGATGCTCCTTGCCCCACAGGATTCAATCAAGGAAAGGATCCAAAACACACACAGAATCATACACATCATACACTGAAAGAAGGAGTGGTTAGCTGCAGCATCCATGTGCGCAGCCATCTTGAAAACCATCACCAAGGGAGATGAGAGATAAAACTCATAACCTGAGCATTAAAAGTGGTTGTGTTTATACAATCATATCAGTTAATAACTAGCTTAACTGTTTTAATCTTCCACTGTTTTTTTAAGTTGTGCAAACCCAGCTTCTTTGATTGGTTTGTGAGCCAACCTTTTCCGCAAACTTACAAAATGAAATATTTAACCAAGCTCATTATGTTATGTAAAATCCTACTCACCTTTCACCATGCGAAAGGAGAATTGCAGGATAACAAGATCGCTATTTTTTTGTTACCATATGCAGAATATAACTAGCTATGAATAATAGAATCTAGATCTCATATTTCAGTTCATAATATTTCATTTTCTTGAAGGAAAAAAAAAGAGAATTGATGCATATTTGTTTAGACTATGGGTGTCCAACTTTTTGGCTTGCCTGGGCCACACTGAATGAAGAGGAATTGTCTTGGGCTGCATATAAAATATATTATTGTTAAAAATTTACAATCTTGTGGGGCTGCACTGCTAGCTGTTCAGAATCACAGGTGACCTGCGGGCTGCAGGTTGGAAACTTCTGGTTTAGACATTATGAAAAAAAAGAGCTAACCAAGGCTAGCCAGAACAAAGCACATTTCCATGCTTATGGTAATAGAAATAAATGCATTTTCACAGGAATTATTAGCAGTCTTGTTTTTCTGATATTTATAACTTTATATATTAGATTGCAAAAATCCGAACAACCATTAGGTGGAAGATCAAGAAGGTCTAAATTTTGCTGTCTAAATTTAAGGGAATTCTCGAACTTTGCAACTCAAGTATGGTAACCCTACAATATACGTCTTTTTTCAATATTCAATGGAATTTATTCTAAAACAAATATGATCTTCAGTTACCAATGGCAATTGGGAATCGAATTGAGAAACATGTAGTAAAGTGCCGTGTGAACTAGCCATTTAGTGACTGAAATTTCAACATTTATGATTGCTGTTAAACATTCACTGTGGATTGTTAAGCAAGAACGCCACTGGTTAATATTTGATTTTATTTATAGGAAGCTGGCAGAGAAGGTCAGAAATGGTGATCATGTGAACATGGGGATACTGCAAATGCTAGAATTTTGAGGAGCATTCATTCAGAGGCGTTGTGGGTTCAAAAGATTGCTGAATGAGTGGTTGCACAAAAAGCTTTAATATTCTTTTAAATCACTGGTAGTACAAGGCAGAGAAATAGCATCACAGTATAACGTAAAGTTAAGCAATTTATAGCTGATAAGAGATAAGAGAGTTATGTATTCCCACCTGTGATTAGATCAGATCCTTTACTTCTTTTATCCTCTACAATTTCATAAAATGGGCCTAAGACATGTAACAGCTCCTCAACTTTGTCTGTCATCGGCATTGTTTCAAGAATCTGGAGAAACACAAAACATGAATGAACCACACACCTTTCAGTGCTAAGTTTGACAATCTCTGTGATGCTTTGCTAAAAACCAGTCCCACAAGAAGAATCTCTTCTCAAACAGATTTGGATTGAAGCCAACAGCTATCAAAACTAAATCAGCAAACCTTCAATGTTTGCATTAACCAATTTTATCTACTATTTACTTTTAGAAGGGTTCCCAATATTTCTAAGATGTCAGCATATTTGCAGTGGAATCTCTAGCTAGAGTAGGAGGAGGAAAAGACTAGCTAGCTTAGAGTCCTTGCAGAGCAAGAAGGCACATGAACCTGACCTCCTCCAGAATCCATTAATCCCTTATCCAGCTACTTCCAAGAGAATGGGATGAGCCTGGCAAGATTCTTGTAAATAGGCATGCAACAATAAAGAAGCAATTCTGATCAACACTTGTGGTATTGTTCCAATTCCTTCCACCTGACATTTTTTTGTGTTTATTTCTTATTTAAAAGAGTACACACTAGTGTTTTAATTATAGCAAAACCTCAATTTACTGTACCTCAATGACATGGTTTTTACATGCAATAGATTTCACAATTGTTTACATCACTTGGTTGTAGCTTCTAATTTTATTTAATAAATATTACTTATCTGGGTTTTTTTTTGTTTCTTTCTTGTGAACTTCTTTAAGTAGTTTGTCCTGGCTAGGAGTGAAGCCTCATGAATGTCCAGTAAATCAGAGATTACACTTACATGTTACTTTTCATCATTGCTTTAAGGACATTATTACATAAATAATCTAAATTGACATAATTAGTGTAATATGATGTGGCTTTGCATAATTATGTCCTTACACAAATGGCATAATTATGTCCTTACACTATATTTCAAAAACAATCCCCTATACAGAAAAGTAGTTCAACTATCTTTTTTCTTCCTGTTCTAAACAATGGTCCACTTATCCATCTCTTTTGAGCAGGATACTTGTCCCATTAAACTCTTTTTTTTTTTTTTTGGCAACATATTTAAAATGTTTTTCACAGAACAAATTCTTCATTTCAGTTTGTTAAAAACAAGGTTTCACTATATAACGCTACAAAGTAGGGTCTACTTACTTGGAAGATTCTATTGACCATTAATAGAGCTAAACGGTAAACATGAATACAAATGCCACAACAAAAACACATAAAGTCTTTTTTATTCTTATATGAGAAATATTTTGTTTTGAAGATGGTGTTAAATGATATATCAAGATGCGTTATTCATTAACAGTTACTTACAATTCCTGTATAAACCTGACTAAATTACTCAATTTCATAGATACTTGCCATTCCTTACATTTGCCCTTCTATAGTTGGGCAATCTTTAAAAACAAAACAGGTGTAGCTAGCAAATTATTAAAGGTTTATCAACTTCTAATCTTCTAGTCATATGAATTCACACACCCTTTCAACATATATTAATATCTACTAAAAAGAGTATGCATTTAGAATGTAATGATACTTTTTTTACTCAGTATCAAGAAATTGGAAAATGCTACATTTCTCTACATTCAAAGTGGAATCAGACATACCCAAAACTCTGGAGAAGACAAGATTTGATAAGCCGCCAAACTGTAGTGAGAGTTTTACGTATTTTTGAGTTTTTGATGCTTCTTTTTCAAGCCATTCATAAATACATTTCCTCCAACAAAAAACCCTCTTTAAGCAGCAATTTAAAATGGCACACATTTAATTTTATTTTGCTATAAACTAGAATAGAATAGAATAGAATTCTTTATTGACCAATTGTGGTTGGACACACAAGGAATTTGTCTTGGTGCAAATGCTCTCAGTGTACATAAAATAAAAGATACATTTGTCCAGAGTCAAGAATCATTTTATTTTATTTTTTATTTTATTTTTATTTATTTGATTTGCCAATTGTTTACAAGATAATAAGTATAAGTGTATACATAGTTGTGAATACATGAAATGGGTACATATAAGAAAAATAAAAGAAGAATAAGAGAAACAATAGGACAGGGATGGTAGGCACGTTGGTGCACTTATGCACGCCCCCTACAGACCTCTTAGGAAAGGGGTGAGGTCAATAGTAGACAGTCTAAGGTTAAAGTTTTTGGGGTTTGGGGAAGA